TTAACACTTTTTCTATTACATCAATGTTAGAAACAAACCTGGAAAGATGTATGTGTGTATGTATTTGTGCGTGTGGTAAATTCAGTTGATTAACCTTGTTTATTTAAATATATAAGCTATGTCCTGCTTTTTTTATCCTACATAGTGCACCATAATTGTGCAAAAAAAACAAAAAAAAAACATGTGTGATTTTGAATGTAGTTACATTTTTAGGAAATGAAAGGGACATTAAAATGTATGTAATTGACATATTAATTAAGGAATGTCTGATTTTGAAAGTAAATGTATTCTGCAAAACATTTGGCAATTTGTAGTCTTTTATAGGCTGCGTAGTCTTTTATTGGACATTCATAATTTAGTCAGAATTTTCGCTTTCTAATTTAGTAAGAAAAAGCTGTATGTCAATTCAGTTTTGCCTTATCCTGTTAGTAATGAAAGACACAACAACGTGCTTTTTATAAAAGTTTCTGCACAAATAAATACCCCTAATACATGGATTGCATTATTAGAACAATAATAAGTATCGTAATATTGTTTCAGCCTGGTTTTAGAATTAATGTCCGTTCCCATCAGAGATATGCGATTAATGGCCGGAACATTCCGTGCGAGGGTCTGTGTTCTATTATTAAATTCTTTCCCCGTGTTACTATCAGAGCATGTCACCCATAGGTTAAAAAGGTCTGATATATGAAAAATGCTAGTTCTCTATCCATTAATCTTCTCGGTGAGTATTCGCTATAAGGCCACTATAATGCTGGAACGTGTCCCAGGAAGCATGGCACATGAGCCAGCAGGCACCCTGGACTGGATTCCAGTCCATCGCCGGGTGTACGCACCCGCGCACACACTCTCACGGATTATGGGCAATTTAGAGAGACCTGTTACCTAACCGCATGTTTTTGGACCAGGGCGAACTCCAGACATGCAGAGCTAGGGGTGCGAATCGAACCCGAATCCTGGACATATGAGGTTTCTGTGCTAACCACTGAGCCGCCATCCTGCTCATAGTTTTTCTACTTTATGCCAAAAAAATATATATACACACACACACACACATACACACATTTATATATATATTTATATATTTAAAACGAACACATGTCTGGTTTTGTAGCATACAAAACTTGATCTTGTTGTGGTGTGGAAAATAATGGAGCCACACTGACTGCCAAAAATTCTATTAGAAATTGAGAGACTATCTCTAGGAGGATGAAAAGCCTTGGAGTTGAAGGAGTGTGTGTGAAAAGGCATGATAGCTTCGATGCGTGCTGTTATTCTGTGTGTGTGTGTGTGTGTGTGTGTGTGTCTTCCAGGCCATATGCCATCTGGCAGAGGGATCTCGAAAACCCTAGATAACAAGCTCAGTGGGTAATCGAGTGTCCAGAGGGTTAGAAGGATAGCTGTAGATAGAGAGTCCTGCCCAGATACCCTTGGGTCCGTGGGAGGGATCCACAGAAATGACAGCGATGCTGATGAGTCAGTGGGCAGAATCCACCATCCTCATTTTAATGAAAAAGGGATGAGAAGAAAAGAAAAAAAGCAATCAACCAATGAAGGAATGCTCGTGTTCATAGACTTTTTTTTTAAAAAGGTTTTTTTTTTGTAATATTGTTGCCGTAGTGAATCCTTTCAATTCTGAAAAATGGCCTTGCCGATGTGAATACACAGCTTAGTATTTGTGAATGATGCGTGACATTATTTGTGTAAGGATTTCTAGAAGATTGGAGAGCGTTATATCAGTTTTTAGTTTTTACTTGGCTTTCAAACATTTTTTTTTGCTTTCTGGAGCATTATATGAATATACTGGTTTATTTCCGCAAAAATAATTTAAATCGACTATGACATGAAATGACTATGACAGAAAAATGTCTGAGTGGCTGTAAACAAATGATAAAATGCATCTTTTGAGAGGAAAATTTGTGTGTCAGTTGAAGGAATATTTTGTTTTGTTGCTATGAGATTACTCTGAAATGTAGCCTAATGTAAGATTTTCATTTGTATTGTTAGAAATTGTTTTCAATTTGAATAGCATTCATTGAAATCTGGATTGTATTGTATTGGTATAATTCCTGTTTCAATTTTAAGCATTTTTTTGTAGCAGAACCACTCCAGTGACCTTTTAACCATCATGTCCCGCTTTCTTGACTCAATGGAAGTTCCAGTGGGATTTTTCAGCCATTCCATGCACATTACCCACAATGCACCCTGTTTGCTTCCTTAAGCAGAACCTCCCCTTAGTCTTTGGTGGGTAATTTTCTGCCAGCTATATGCCCGAGAGAAGCGTGCGAGTGAAGAGGTTGTTATGGTGCATGGTCCCAGTCCCCAGACATGAAGGGGGGGGGGGGCAGCACCCCCTATGGCCAGAATGCATCTGGTCTGACTGGCCTGGCAGAGCCGTCAGATTCTTTTATGTCCCCCACTTCCCTCCTCTGCTTCTGACCGAGACCTGATGGTGCTTTTCACTTGTGGGGTCCTTCAGCCCCCCCCCCACTGACCCCCCTACCCCTTTCACAATAGTGAATTCCTTTCAAGGCAGCATGTCACCGTCAACTTGGGTATAAGAAAGAAACGGTGTTTAAGAAGCTGAGTTCTCGATGAAATGCTCTGATCAGAAGTCCCTACAATACTCTCTATTGTACTATGAGCCTTTTAAATTTATACTTGACTCCTAGCCTTTCAGGAGAGCGATGTTTCCTTGACTTTTACGCGTGTTCCGTGTTTCTCAGACCCATCGAAAGGCAAATATAAATATAATATTATTAAATACAACAACAAGCCCAGAACCAGGTATAATGATTTTCTCTTACAATCCGCACAGAGTAGTTTCGAATTGAGAGTTGAGTGGAATTGATGTTGTTTATTTGGCTTATTGCAGATTGATAGGATGGAGGCTGACTGCAGATTCACTTGCTTCTCACACACTAGAATCGCCTGTAACTTTGTAACTGGGTTTTAAAAACACATGGTGTTTATTACAGATCCGCCGTGAGGGGGTCACTGCCGTCACACACTTTCCCGGGGGCTTGCTTTTATTGTACCCGGCCGTGTTTCAGCACTGCTTTTTAAATGCTGGCTTTGTTCTTGCCCTCCCCCCCACAGCTTGCTGCAAGCGAGGTGGATTTTGTTATTTGTTCGTTATACCTGGTGATCCCATTCTGTGCGGTGTTTCTGGGCTAGCAAGATCTCATAAACGTCTACAATACAAGATGCAACAATAATATGAATGAAAAATAATAATGACAGTTATTAATAATGACATAATGTAAAGCTTTATTCATCCTGAGGGAAATGACTGTGTCAAGACACCGTGCAAGATTACAACAGCAGAGCGTAATAATGTAAAATAAAGATTACAAGTAAAACAGCGAAAAAGGGAAAAAAAGATGAGACGTATAAGGTAAGTAAAATTGGCGTGTGCTAATGTGAAAAGAGGTGTGTAGGGAACTGTGGAAATGTGCAAAGAGATGTGAGTAGGGAACTGTGGAAATGTGCAAAGAGATGTGAGTAGGGAACTGGAGATGTGCAAAGAGATGTGTAGGGAACTGGAAATGTGCAAAGAGATGTGTGTAGGGAACTGTGGAAATGTGCAAAGAGATGTGTGTAGGGAACTGTGGAAATGTGCAAAGAGATGTGTGTAGGGAACTGTGGAAATGTGCAAAGAGATGTGTGTAGGGAACTGTGGAAATGTGCAAAGAGATGTGAGTGGGGAACTGTGGAAATGTGCAAAGAGATGTATGTAGGGAACTGTGGAAATGTGCAAAATATAATCTCATACACCTTCAAATGTACCTGAACAAGTAGAGTGTTACACTAACAATATGAAGGGCGTTGGTTCAAGTCCCAAAAAATATTTTAACCCTTCCATCTACTATAAGTTGCTTAGAATATATGTTAGATAAATGTAAATCTAAATAAATACTATTAAGAACAGAGTCCCCCAGTGAGAGTCTCCCAGTGATGATAATAATTAATGATGGCAGGGTAGCTCAGTGGGTAGGGCTGTAATCTCACACCTCCTGGGTTTTGGGTGAGGTTCCTGCCCCCCCACTCTGTATGTGAGGACTTTGCCCCCCCCTTCAGTTCCTGCAGGTTTCCGTTGGGTACGATAGTATCCTCCCACAGTCCCAAGCCGCGGTGTTAAGCGAAGGCCCTTCCTGATGGTGACGCTCCAGGCCTTAAACCCATCCCACAATATGGAGGGGCGAGATGCCACCAGCCCTGGCTGCCTTCAGTGACTTGTAGTTTCCAGGCTCAAGGACAGGAATGAGCTGCTGGAACCTTGGACCTCTGGAGGTGTCCTGCAATAGGAGCTGTGCCTGTTCAAATGGAGACTGAGCTGGAGGTACGGGGGCAAGGTCCTGATAGCAGAACCTTTTGCGCAGGTTGTTTCTAATGCAGAAAACATTGCGATTACATTCAAGCGCTCAATTACTGTCAAGCAGATCAGTGTGAGGTCTGCCTGGCGTGTCTCATTTCCCAACAGCAACATCCATACTGGATAAAATGACACTTTCTGCAGTTGTCTGGCAAAGGCTCACGATATTATTACTTAGCGCTACTCCTCACTAACGGGTGATGTAGTTACCGCTCACGTTTTTAGATAGGCCAGTTTCAGAAAGCATCCATCCATCCATTCACCTTCAAGCCGATTTTCCTGGTGAGGGTTCACGGCAATTTAACTGAACAAAAAACTGACAGCAGATGACAGTTTTGCGCGCATGTCGTCAGTGCATATTAGCTTTAGATCTATTACACATTAGAAAAACGTTTTTTTTTTCGTTTCGTGACTTTTAATTTGAAAGGGAAACTTGAATCTGGTTAATTTCAAAATAGCCTATAATTCATGTCATTTAACGTTCATCACGGAGCATCTGGGCAGTTTTCGCTGCAAACATTATCTTTCCCTTATCTCTGTGAAGTAATACTTGGCTGACTGCGAGTCGGAAAAGAAGAGAGAGAAAGAGGGGGAGAGAGAGAGAGAGAGAGAGAGGGGAGAGAGGGAGCGAGAGACGGCAGAGAGCGAAGGCGACTGAGCGCAGGAGAGAGAGATCCCGGTCACTTTACGGAGTTGTGCGCTTCGCTGTGCTGGGTCTCGGGCATCTAAAACTCACTATAAAATTAATTTCGTCTCCTGCGCAGTTGGAGACTGCTATGGATGTTGCGCCTGGATTTGCATTGGTTATTTTTATACGTTTACTTCTCCACTCGAATGGCCTTTACATCTCCAGTAGTATAGGTACGTGTTACTGTTTATCCTGCGTGTACCTTACTGTACGTTTAGTGATAGCAACTTTGACATGCAGTGCGATCGGGTGAAGCGCCCCTTTATTCATGCAGCAATACCGTTATTTTGTACCGTTCCTCACTTAAAAAATCAGCCTTTCTTTTATCTGATTTTAATGATCTTAGGAAGTATCTGGCGTGCCATGTCATCAGTTTTTTTCGCGTTAAGGCTGGGTGGTACTGTCTGCTTAAAACGGCAATTAAGTGCTCTGGACTTGCTGTTTCGGTTCTGACAGCAGATCGAGTCCGAATTATAGAACCTTTATTTTGCGGTCCTGTGGTCCCAAACTGGACGGTACCGGAACATTTAAGTAGCAAAAAAATATAAGTGTATGCTGTTGCTTGTGTTAAGAAACCTGCATATTCATAAAAGTGTCAGGAATAAACCGATGTGCAAACGACATTAGTAGATCAGTGGAAGAAATCGTGGTTATAATAAGTTAGTGATCGTCTAAGGTTGGTTGAATACACGAAGCTTGTTATTTAATCACAAAACCAGAAATCGCATGCTGAAATGAAAAATTAAAAATGCATTTTAAGGGACTATCTATAAGGCATATAGCGTTAATAAATTAATTCGTGCAAATGCTTTTCCAGTCTTTAGGTCATATTTGTCTTTTTTGGCCCGAAAGCAATTGTTTTCTAAAGAGTAGAAAGTAAACGCATATTTGGTAAGACTAAGAAAATTGTGACTGGAAGTTGGTCGTATTTTCAGACGTACTAACGATTCAATGGTAAAACAAACCATATATTTCCCTACCATGCATCGGCAATATTCCGAGATAGTGCATGCTAGGTTGCAGATGTCCTCAGTGTTGTACCGCCGAAGTGGACAGCTTGAAGAGGTGCGTGCCCATTACGGTTAGACTGCAGGCAGATTTACGGTAAAGTCCAGATGCAATGCCATACTTACTGCACGTGAAGCGATACCCCTACCGGCGTGTGTTTCCGCACCTGGTCTGTCCCTATGTACTTGTCCGGTGTGGGTTTTGTGCCTGCATGTGGATCCTTTGCCCGATCGTGTGCATATTGCTGATTTTTGCACAGACTCCCTGAGGCATGCGGTGAGGCAGTACCAGCTGGTGACGCCGGTGAGCACGGATGCCCAGGGCAGGTTCCTGTCGCACGCCGTATCAACCGAGCGGCCGCGGCAGCCGTGCCGGAGCCGCTGCAGCCGAGAGGCGTCGCGGCCGGAGCATGTTGGCAGCAGCAGAGAGCTGGTCTTCTACAACATCACCGCCTTCGGCCGGGAACTGCACCTGCGTCTGCGGCGAAACTCGCGCCTAGTGGCCCCTGGAGCCAAGGTGGAGTGGCGCGAGAACAGCACCACGCGGGTGCAGCCTTTGCTGGCAAACTGCCTCTACGTGGGTGACGTCTCCGACATGCAAGGTGCATCTGTCGCCATCAGCAATTGCGATGGTCTGGTATGTTTCTGCGCTCTACCTGATTACTCATGTTGTAACTTTCCCGATACATCTTCTTAGCTAAACTAAGATTTTGGGAAAACTCAGTGGTAACATGAAAGAATGCAGACTGGAATAGTTTTGTAAGTGTTGCTGTTTTTCCCTGCTTTTTAAATTCACTGGGTTAACCCTGTCAGCTTGTAGAGCCATCTATAAGGAATTGTGTTTGGAGGACAGCCAAAAAGCCCAGTAACATTTTGATCATTTATCACATCAGCTAGGGTCCAGGGTTACATGCAAACATACCATCAGGCCATTAATCTGATGTTTTCAGCAGTAATGTTAGTCAAAAACAAAATGTCTTGTGCTTTTATACAATCAATATCTACCTTGTAAAGAAAGAAAACACAACACAAAGCGATATCTGTCTGTGGCCTTCTCAGATTGTATTCCAAACCTCTCCATAATGGTGCCCTGCTTGAAAACTGCTTAAATATAATTTAGAAGCAAACCCATCATGAATAGTGTGTAAATGTCACACAGCATGCATGCATACACATGTTTAGTATTCATGTGTTGGCTATTTCCCTCACCAGTTGTACGATTTTAAGCACAACAAAATAATAATAATAATAATAATAATATTAAAAATAATAATTATAGAAAATCTTTTCCATGCTAAAAGTCCAATAGAAGTGATTTTGGAAGATCACTGACTTACTAGCTGACTGATTTTCTGTCATAATTTGTCCAGTGAAGATTTATTGTGAAATTAGTGTAGAGTTCAGACATTTTAATGTCCTTTGATATTTTATATGATGAATACTGGCAAAAGGATGGGATTCTATCTATCATTTTACTTTGTTCGTCATACCATTCCTTCGGTGATTTATTATTACTTACTCTAGAGTACTGAGTAACTGGCACACAGGCAAGGATATCTGGGAGTTTTTATGGGGGTAATGCAAGCGGAGGGATTCTGCACAACGGTCCAATTAAAGATGCGGCAGCGGAGTCGGGGTTACCATAGCGATCACATCCCTTAGATGGGCATCAGAAAGCTTTATTCATTCAGCTGGCAGGTCTGGTGGCAAAACGCAGAAAAAACCCTTGATGAACATAAACTTTCTTAATGGTCTGTATAGGCGCATTTTAAAATGAAAATGCAACCTGTTCACATGGACATACACATCATTTAAGAGCGTAACCGAATTTGTCTTTTTAAACAGTGAAATCATTTAAATGAAGAGTTTATATTTGTTTTCCCATGTTACACTTTGTGAATTTTCCTGATCTTCTCTGCACAAAGACAGTCAAACGCTTTACAATACAAGACCCCCGAAAGGCCGTCCTCTTTCAAGCAGACGAGAAGTACAGGGAACAGTTTATGTAGGACTTCGACCTGGGTGAAGAGGCTGCGGGGAAACATGGGTCCAATGTGTTCTGCACTTACGTAGTAGAGTGCTCCTTTTCTGGGTTGTCTTAAATCGTCGGGGGTCTGGGGAGTTGAAGAGTTAATCCACAGGCACGGTAGCCTGAAACTAACATTCATCATTTGAATGGCTGGAATAAAACCACCTTATGACATTTACGTTAAGCTCCGCGTGCCATCGGCCAGCAGACTGTAGGAATCGTGCCATGCAGCTCTCCTATCTTATAAATTCCAGACCTAAATCGTCTGCCACTTTAAACGAAATACTTGGCACCGTTCGGGCGTTACTTAAGTCCGACTCGTCTTGGTAGTCACGTTGCGAAAGTGCATCAGCTGTTACTAATGTTACGGGCGTTCTTTTAATTTACACCGTGCCCTTTTAGCCCAGATAAACCTCCTGGACGCCAGCTGAGTGTGTTTCCCCGCCAGTGTCGAGAGACGTAACGCACTGGGCCTCCTCCAGCCTGAAACGCCGTGCGCCGCCTTCACACATACGGGGGGACTCGTGCCCTCGCCTGAAGCCAAAACTGCGCTTGTATTTTGAGGAACGAAAAAGAAATTAGCCAATTTTAAAAAAAGCATTTCACTCTGGAGGAGTCCTGTGTGCGGATGTATCGTCAATCACCTGGAATAAAGCATCAGAAATAACAGGAAATCAGTGCAGGGTCCTCGTAGCTCTAATTTAGTTTTTCAGTTTTTTTCTGTTATAGCTCCTGACATTTTGTTCCTAAATGTGCTGCCGTAAAGAGAGCCATTTTTCACATACATTAGGCAGAAGGATGATTTCCTGTCCTGTCGCCCACTCCTTTTCTTTAGTTTGTCATAGAAAGATATTGTCAGGTGGATTTCTGTACTCCATACTGTAAAAAATGTAGCTACGGAGGCTCAGCTTGAGATGCGGCGAATCCTCCAGTAACGCCGTGGGGACCGGCTCCTCTGTCATTTTATCACTCACTCGATACCACGGCTGCAGTGGGCGGCCGACTTTCGCCTCATGGGCTGGGGTGGCGGGGCGGGGGCGGGGGTTGTAGGTCCGGTCCATGAAAACACTGCCCTTATTACACTCCGGTAATAAGGAAAACTTTTCAGCGCCTGGTTTTCAGTGAGCCGCGTCCATGGGAACCAGCGAGGTTTATCAGTAGAGAAGCATTGGATTTATGCCCTGAAAGTTCTGGGTTTCCACCCCTGCTGAGTTACGGTCCTTGGCCTTGGTTTTCTGTGATGTCCCCAGCTGAAGAACTGAATACCAGAGTTACAGTTTTTTTCCAGAACAGCTCCGCCTTATAGCAGACAGAACTGAGGATTCATATCAGAACTACTACCATGTGTGAACTTCAGTGGAAGCTACTCTCAGACCCAAATGCTGCTTTACTCACTTTTATGACTTTTCTCACTGCTAATTTACTTCTTTTGGGAATCAGTATCATTTTCATTGGGTTAGCCTCACCGCTACATGTCCTTTGCTAGTTAGATGAAGGTGTCGACTCGACTTTAAAAGAACAGAGAGACACTTCAGGGGGAAGTGGGAACGATGGAGCCGGATTCCCGGTGAGACCTCATCTGGTGTCACTCCCCCATAAACGACACAGCGCTGAGGCCACTCCTGAGGGATTATGGAATTAGTGGTCATCTGGCTTTCAGAAAGAGACTGAGGGTAGTTCTCAGTATCAAGAACGCAAAGATTGCATGACCGGTATCTCTAACTCCCAAATAATGAAATGAAGAATGAATCATGGGATTGGTCTTGCTTGGTGCGGATGCAACTGATGTATGTTTGTTTGATGCTTGGGACGGGGGGGATTTTTACCATCCTCCGCACTTGTAATGGGAAATATCAGCTTTGGCTCCATGAAGGTGCCTGCCCCTTCGATAATCCTGTGGCCCCCCAAAGCTGGACCTGGGCTTGAAAAATTTTGCCAAATAAAAGTGTCCAACAGCATATTTTTCTGCTTTGAAATATAGATGAGTAAAATTATATCTAGTATTGATTAATGTGTTTACACTGTAGAGCTTTCCACCCTAGAATCCAAGCAGGTCCATTAAAAGTTTTCCGCAGATGTCCTTCCGTGCGATGATAGCTGTTGTTGCCTCACGCCTCCAGGAATGTGAGCTAAGCCCGGCTCTTGGCCCAGCTCGGTACATGTGGAGTGGGTGGGCCCTGCCTTCTCCCTGCACGGCCAAACGTTCGCGGTTTTGGGTGGACCGGTGTCTCTAGATCGGCTGCATATCCTGCGATGACCCAGCATCCAGTTCAGGGTGTTCCCCAGCCCACCGTACCCCAGCGGCGGATAAGCAGTTATGAGATTTCTCTTTAAAAAGGAATCGATAGAATTCGTCTTCATAATAGCCGCTGCTATTAAAAATGTCACCTGTTCAGTTTACCTGGTTGCTAATGGTATCCAGCTATATAGAGAATATGTCTGTGTGTGTATATATATAGCACTTGTGTATTCCGCTCATGATAATGCAGCAACATAAAATGAGCACAGTTGTGCATGGTGCTGTTTCTCACTCAAACCCAGCTTCTGTATGACTTTAATGAGGTTGTTGGCTGTCATTCCATCTTTCCGTCTCTGTTCCCAGGAGAGTAAAGGGGTGGGGGGGGGTTGGCTGTCAGGGGCAGCTGTCTGCAGTTTCCTCTCTCTCTCTCTCTCTCTCTCGTTTTCTCTTCATCGCCCCCATTTTGTTGATGGTCCAGTAGACGTGGAAGCTCCACAGTTGGTTCTGTTGCAGATTGTCACTGACACCTTTGTCAGGATTTGCAGCAGAGCGAGTCATCCTGGCCGGGACAGGAGGATAGGGGCAACTGCGGTCTTACCTCACTGGCGCAGTTGCGGTGACCTTTCGGTGACCTTTGCATGTGGTTACCACTTGTGCGAATGTCAGCTGAGTGCACTGTGCCATCCACACCGGGGCTCGAACTTGCACCCCTGTGACCTCTACTGTCATCTGTTCACTTGGAAGCGTCAGCTGTTTGAGATTGTTGGCATACGGCGGACAGACCTACGTTATCCGGAATAATAAATCAGATCTTTTTGAGGCGGGCTGCTCTGCACAGATACATCAGATGGTTACAGAAATGCTCAGTTTTCAGCTACTCCTTTGCATTTCAACTTGACAAGTACAAAAAACATGTAGTGTTACCCAAAAAGCATCTGCACATTGGTCACTGGTGGAAAATTCTGTAAATAAACTTACAGTTTCGGTTTTATAATTGTTTGTAAACTGTAATGCATCCTTGGACGAATGGAAGGGTTAGAGGGTAGTAACTGAGCTGAGCAGAAGGCTGCCATTTCTGTGTCGCCTATAAAAGTCTGTTAGTAGTGGAAACGTGGCGCGTGATGTTGGTTCGGGGAGGATTGTACTCACACCAGCCGGGAAGATCTAAACTTCTCCTGGCCGGGTCTCCGGCTTAGTTTTAACGGCATTTGTGATTTTTTTTGGAGGAATCTTGCTGCCTTCTGATGTCTGCTTGAGTTTTCTTCTGATGAAAAGTGGTAGATTAAATCTGATATTTGCAGGCCTGGTTCATATACTGTAGCATTAGTTTCCGAGGTAGTCATTTGTTTCAACCAGCCACTTGAGTAAT